CTGTGGCTATGCAGTCCACATCACCACACAGGCGTGCAGCCATCGCCTTCTCCAGCTCAGTACGTTTCGCCACAGTACCGAGGGAGCAAATGTTTAATTTACGCCGATTCACGGCGGGAGTGCAATACATCGATTTACGAAAATATATGTACAGTTTGGTCCCAACCAATTTGTGATCAGTGCCACACTCAGCTCCACGCAGTACACGTGTCATGCGCACTTCACGCATCTCACGCTGACGTACGATGACATAGTCGAGCAGGTGAGCGTGACCACTCCGTGGGTGCGTCCAAGTTGCTATATCACTCGCACTCAGTGCAAACCGAGTGTTCGTGATCGTCAGGCCGTGAGTGGCACACATTGAGAACAGCCTGTCACCGTTCGCATTCGCTGAACCAATGCCATGCGCACCGATAACATCTGTCCACGCTGATGCATCACGCCCAACGCGCGCGTTAAAATCACCCAGCAGAAATAGTCGGTCGCTCCTCGGCACAGACCGTATCACGGAGGATAGCTCAGTGTAGAATTGATCACACGTGTCATCAGGATAACACATGGTCGGACCGCACGTGCTTATAAAAGTAGCCAGCTTACCTCTTCCGAGTCGTAGGCGAACAGTCATCAGTCGCGCGCTGATGCCCGTTGGTTCACCCACCAGCTGGCCATGGAGGCGATCGGATATTGCAAATCCGACCCCATGTTCACGTGGTGCTGAGGCGGCGTTCCCCACCCAGTAGAATGTGTAGCCAGCACCTGCTTCATGTAACTTACCTTGCTCAGCGAGCCGAGTTTCACTGAGCGCCGCAATATCGATGTGGTAGCGCGCCAGCTCCATTGCGACCAGTGCATTGCGTCGCTCGGGGCGCTCACTGGAGTTCCGATCCAGTAGTGTGCGCATGTTTCAGCACCCGATGCTGATTGCTTTGCGCGCAGGCATACGATTGCATTGGTGGGCAATCGCACGCGAGGTGGCGGATGTGCTTCGGAGGTTTGCTTGAGGGCCTCCACCCGGAGCCTTTGGCTCAATAGCCTGACCCACAAGACAGTGGGTGGTTTGGAGGTTTGCTTGAGGGACTCCACCCGGAGCCTTTGGCTCAATAGCCTGACCCACAAGGCAGTGGAGAGCAGATCCAGCTCGGGAATGTGATTGCAGAGACAGATTGGGATCTGCTTGACGGCCGTCACGCACAGCTTTTGAGGTTTTGGAACAATTATTATATGTTTTGCGACCGTAATTGGATACGCACCTGCGACCACGGCCAGACGCAGGTGGGTTTGCACCAATTTGACCAGGGGCTGCCTGGCTTGAGGCGGGCAGTAGCAAACCATTGAACACCCGGAGGTGTCCTCCCACCGTCAGAGACAATGCGTGGCCCTCGTGCTCTACGCCAATCGAGCTTTGAGAATATCACCCGTAAACCTGTTGTCTCCCATGGCTAGGTTTTACGGGAAGAGGGCCATGGATCACTTCCTAACCTCCGGAGAGGATGGACTAGAATACTGCCAGGGCGCCCAATCCTGACAGGAGAACGACTCGGGTCCTCACCAAAGCCTTCGATTAAATGAACACCCGAAAGGCAGCGAGTCTAGCACATGGTCAGTTAGCCGACTCATGCGGATTGGTGTCCTGGATCTTAGCAGGGAGAAGGGCGAAACCCAACTCCCACCCAGCGGTCGCCACGTGGAGGCGCCCAGGACATGAGACTATGGCGCAGCAGTAGCAGCAGTGGGTAGACCATCTGTCAGGATCTAGGCACCACCAGCCTCAGCGCACCATAGGCTCTTCCGTATATATATATATATATATATATATATATATATATATATATATATATATATATATATATATATATATATATATATATATATATATATATATATATATATATATATATACATGGAAGACCCGTGTTGATGACTGGGCCGCAACACTTGGTGCAACGCGCGTAGACTGAGAAGGTACTTACTTATTTACTTATTTACCGTATCCAATGTAAATTCGGAGGTATAAAACCGGGAGCTATGGGAATGGGAGCGAGGTCCCATCAACGAAGTCAACGCACACTGCTGTAGCATTCTTCTTTGCGTGGTGACTCATGCATATCGAACTTCCGGAAAGCGATGACTGGGCCGTTGCTTGTTCCACACTGGATGCATGGAACTACTCTTTGAGCTTAGCATGGTCACTATGACCCTACATTTCGTCTTCCTATCCAACAACCGACTGTCTCCTTTTGCCACTGTAATTGCTGTGTCTGTTTTTCGACAGGTAGTCACTTTGGCAACATTCACATCAAGCTCAGCCATACCGGGGACGTCATTCAACGGGCAACACCTGAAATACAAGCAGATAAACACACAGGCATTTGCAGACTCAGAGCGGAGGCGATTCAGCATTCGTTCCACATCCACCGTATTATTTACCTTGGTTAGTACATGGAATGGAATCGGAAGCAGCCTACTTACCAAGCGCTGCACTGATATTGCTTACCTTTTTAGCGGACTCGTCGCCTCTTCGATATTGGCCTCTCGTTTTTAAGCTTGTGGCTTACCAAACCGGCTTTGTTGAGCCATTTGCATGTGCTACAGCACCATGCGCTTGACTTCGATAGGCTGGACTCCATCGCCGCCTGCCGCTTCCGCAATTTGCGTTTTTTTCCGGATACAGTAAGATTTTCTCGTGCACCTGGGTAACTGTATTTTTTATGTGGGCATGACACTGACGCTGATCCGCTGCTTTTGATTCTCAGCATCTACAATCAACGTTGCTTCGTAATAAACGTTGATCATGTCCTGTTAATGTAGCTTCAGTTTTCCCACGTTCCGCTTTTCTGCACTAAGTTGTTTATATAGGAACTGCTTGGATATTCTCGTCGACTCTATCAGGCTGACATGCCCGAGCCACAGGTTCCGCCGTAGAAGTATGATGTTCACTGCACCTTTATATACATACTTTTACAACATCCTTTGTATGTGCCGCACGTTGGCATGTTCGCATTATAGATTGGTCCCTTCGTATGGCATACGCTCCGCACCTTCAAAGTTAACTCCTGTTACAAGACCACTTGACATTTGCAGACTTATTGACCTTTGTTGTAGACGTAATTAATGTAGATGACCAATCTACCTAATCACTATTCACGAACTTGCACATTATTGCCGCCTAGAGAAGATCGTAGCCCCCTCGCCGAACAACGAGTTTCAACTTATGCACTTCACCCATTGTGGCAGCTGCATCAGTTGCCATGAACATGTACCTAATACTGTCCGCTGTTCGACTTACTGAAGGAGCTACACCCTCGAGTGATATACTCCGGATGAATCCCATTTTCGTCACTTCTTCAAACTATCTTGCATCTCTCCCCTACCCGCCCCACATGAACGTAGCCCGAAGTATCTTCGTTCCCAAGATTTTCCATCTTTCGCCTTATTTCTGTGACCTCTGTCTCCACCCACCTACCTCACCGTACTCACTTCAACAAATGAGTTCCATCTCTTAATGTGAACCGTCTACAATTTGGCTTTCTTCCTAAGGACGGTTGTTTCGATGCCTCGACTATCCCTCACGCCCTGCTTCGTTATTCTCAAGCTTTCTGAACCTTTATCTTCTTCGACGTATGCCCGGTCACCGCCTACCACAAATTTTAAAATCTACAGCATCTGTGACGTCAGAAAGGGGTTCCCCTCATTCTGAAGGACCGTGTTTACAGCACTCAAGTAAGAGCCGTCCTACTCTCTGAAAGTGAAACTTGGCCCCTTCTATCTGAGATTCTGAGACACTTTGATTGTCGCTGCCTGCGGAGCATTGTGGTGTTAAAAGCAACAGCGTATCCGCAACGATCATTTGGATAGACGCGTGCTAGTCAATGATAATCAGACCCCTTCCTTAGAACAGCAGCTAACACTAAATAGGCTGCGTTGATTTGTGCACGTATTACGTAGGCTCGATCGCCGCTTACCGATGAGGAGCTTGTTCTCTTTGCCGGATACAGGGTGTCATATTTCTCGATGGGTGCAAAAGTTGACTTGGCAGCGTGAAATGAAGTCATGAACGACCAAATTGGTTGCTGTCGGTTCGTCTCGCCTTCCGGGCTGGAGTCCACGGGGCTCGCCTTGTGCTTGGTTCATGGCTTTGTAGAACAGAACGTGCGGTCGGCATCAGTAGCCTTTCTTCGGTCGTTTGCATGTCGGTCTACTTTTCTAGAATGTCTCACACTGTTATCTGTGGTGCAATGGTTGTTTATGACGCAGGGCGATGAGCGCCGCAAGGAAACACTTCAGTCGATGCCGCCTTATGTTTGCACGGAAACCAGCGGTTTCTTATCCTATGTTGTTGACAGTGTACGTTCCTTGACGCCGATTACCTACTTAGGACGTTTGAATTTTACACTAGATCCATGATCTTTTTTCCTGTTGTTTTTCATCACTTAGCTAATTGTGATTATATGACAGCGAAGCATCAGTCCAAATGGCTGATGTACTATTGTTAATCATGATGATAGTCAGACTGTAACAGTGTTCGCCATTGATCGCGTTCCTGCTCACGGGTCATCATACTAATCCCCGAGAGCTAACCTCTCGGCTAGTGCATGTTAAAAATCTTGTGAACTGTTTTGCTTGCTAATCGTGGCTGGGTTTTTGATGGCTTTTTATTGTATTGTTTTGGCGTTCACTGCAACATTTGGGGCAGCTTTCATCCAACAACTCCGTTGTTCGTTTTCCATGTCGATTGACTATATGATTACCAAACATCGCTTTGCTCATCATGGTTTGATGGGACCCATCTTTTTCTGCGAATCTAGACAATCATACCTCTCCACGAGTAGACGTCGGCGGCCGAGCCAGTCTATCTTGAGCCATTCCATTGTCTCCCTATGACCCAAAATTGTACCTTAACCAACTACGATCCATACAACTGCAGACGTCTTGGCGTGGTCATTTACTCCTTCGTCTCTACTGCCCCCTTCAGCAACTTCGTTTTGCTTTTCTGTCCACAGCTTTGGCATCACCGCCAGTGGGCTGTGATGCAGTTAGTCAGTGCGTATCCTGCAGATAGCACTAATGAAAACAAAGAAGTTCACACCAAGTACGGTCTCGGTGAACTCGAATTCACTGCGGACGTGATTTCGGATGATTCCAAGAATTATCATGCATGGCAGCACCGACGTTGGGCCGTCAACTACTTCAAAATACCATCAACACATGAACTCCAGTACACTGAGACCTTGATTTTGGAGGACGTATATAACAATTCCGCGTGGAATCATCGCTTCGTCACGGTGTCGAAGGACGAGGGGTTGACTCCACCTGTTCTTCAGCGGGTAAGCGGACAATTTGTTATTGTTGATAGCAGTCGTAACTTTCAGAATAGTTAAATCTTCTCAGACGGATCTCGCTTTTCTCCGTTTGAATACGATATTCCAATGCGCTCCGTTCGGAAACAAAGGGCTAACGATATTTAGGGTATTAACTCAAGTCTCCCTACGGGCATTATCCAATCGTGATCCATAAGCTGCGTTGAGTGGGCCGATATTCGGGGCATCCTCGAGATACAACCTCGGAATCTACTGACCAATGTTTGCATCCTTACACATATCAAGTTCAGTTCACACTCTATTACCTTGACTCCTATCCGCAATCTTTCAAACGAATGAGACTCGCGGAAAGATTATTTCGAAAACAGTATACATATATTTCAATTAGCTTACATTTTCTGGTTTATCTGCTGGTTGATTGAACACCATAAACGTATGACTTACCACTCTCTGGGCTTTTCATCTAGCCTCTGTACTCACGGTCGTCCATGTGATTATTATCGATAGCGAAATTTCACACATGCGACAACGATGTCTTTGACTATTGTATACTACAATCACACGTCGGGCGAAGTCAGGGCTTACGGCACGCTTTCCACTTCGTTTGCTGCCACCACTAAGGTGTGCCAAGCATGCCCCATCTTGCCTTTTCTCTGCAATTTTGCCATTGAAGATGTCGTCCAACGAGCATTGGAAGGCTCTCAAACTGCGGTATTGAGCTTCTCCCAGGTGGCAAAGTATCGGATTCGGACTACAACGATGATATCGCTTTTCTCGGGGACGATTCACAAGCCGTCCAAAGCGCTCTGAACCGCTTAGCGATGGAGACAACTAGGTATGGTCTGTGTTTCACGTCAGGCAAATGTAAAGTACTACTCCAGGATTGGCAGATGCCTATGCCTACCCTTACCTCTGTTGGTAACGTCCTGGAAAAAGTCCATCGCTTCACTTATCTAGGGAGTTGAATCACAGCTGGCGGCTGTATTGTAGATGAGGTCTCACAGCGGATTGCAAAGGCCCCTCTTGCATTCCTCAGACTGAGACACTTATTGCGCCTTTGCGACATCAGTCACGAATTCAAGGCAGTGTATACGTTGCCTCGGTTCATGCGGTCTTCTTGTACAGTTGTGAGACTTGGTCGATTCGCTCGGAAGACATAAACCGATTGTCAGTTTTCGACAATCGTTGTCTGCGTAGGAGTGCTCGCATGTGGTGGCAGCATCACGGTTGTTCTCCGACACCGTATGCGTTAGCTCCACCAAGTATTGCGCATGCTGGCCTGTCGCCTTCCTCATTGGGCGTTATTTGCGCTCCCCGGAAGCGATTGGAAAACTGCGGCGGTGGATGCCCATTGACGTGAAAAAGGAGCATGAAGAACGCAACCTCAAGCTTAGCATCCGTTGGACGGTTCCGTCTTCCGCGATCGGGACAACGCTATTCGGACTGCCAGTGATTAGAAACCTTGGAGGCTATGGCGCGCAACCGGCATCAGTGGAGACAGTGTTGTTCAACCGTCTTATCTATTAGTTAACGTCTCATCGAATATAAACTCCAACAACAAAATCCCAAAACGGCATGTGTACAACCGAAAAATCGTTTCTTTAATGCTGTGTTTCGTTTCCCTCTTTATTTGCCATGGTGCGTTGAGGCTGGTGGTGCCTAGGTCCTGACAGATAGTCTACCCACTGCTGCTACTGTTGTGCCATGGCTTATGTCCTGAACGCCTCGTGGGGACCGCTAGGTGGGAGTTGGGTTACGCCCTTCTCCCTTCTAGGATCCAGGACACCACTCTGCATGAGTCAGTGAACTGACCTTGTTCTAGACCCGCTGCCTTTCGGGTGTACATTTAATCGAAGGCTTTAGTTGAGGATGCGAGTCGTTCTCCTGTCAGGCGTGGGCGCCCTTCCAGTATCCTAGTCCATCCTCATCGGAGGTTAGGAAGTGGTCGATATCCTTCTTCCTGCGGTGGGTGACAACAGGTCTACGTGTTATAAGCTCACAGCACGATTAGCGCAGAGCACGAGCACCACCCATTGTCTCTGACGGTCGAAAAGCACCTCCGGGTGTTCAATGGTTTCCTACTGCCCGACTCAAGCCAGGCAGCCCCTGGACAAATTGCTGCAAACCCACCTAAACCCACCTGCGTCTTGCCGTAGTCACAGTTGCGTCCCTTACTACGGTTGCAAAATATATATGAGTCGTTCCAGTACCTCTTGTGTTTACGGCGTTCGTGTGGGGCACCGTATTGATGCTGGCTTGCTGAACATCCGTCGTCTCGGTGCCAGAACCCCTTATCTGTGAGACAACTACCCGCATGTTGCTGTTCGCTGACGACTGTGCGTTGTTTGCAAGCAAAACTGTATGTCTCTTTCAGCCTTCATCGGAGGTGCAATCTTCAATATTGCCGCGAACCAGCATTGGTGCTAAAGTATTTGGAACCACCTCCCGCTTCTGCTACCTTGGGAGTGTGATCAGCAGCTACACAGTGAGCTTCGTATCCGTGTATCGAAGGAAGTGGCGGCATTCGAGAAGCTAGAGTACTGGGTATGGAACAACCATCAGCTTACCGTTGGCACGAAGCTGATGGTGTACAAATCAATGGTGCTGTCCGTTCTTCTATAAGGCAGTGAAACGTGGACGATGTACAGGCGGGATGTGCGATATCTCGAGCGGTTCCATCAACAATGTTTGTGACGTATTCTGCGCATCGGTTGGGGCGACAGAGTTGCGGACACGGAAGTGTTGCGTCGAAGTGGAATGTATGCAGTGGACTGCATACTTTTGTTGAGACAGCTTAGATGGCTCGGTCATGTGAGTCGTATGGATTCGACGCGGATATCGAAATAACGATTATATAGTCAGTTGAGTACTGGGAAGCCGCATGTGAAACCGAAGTTACGTCACCAGGAAATGATCAAAGTGAGTCTCTCACGTTCTAATCGCGATTGCCGGTCAAGCGATTCGAAAGCGTTTGATCAGGGTGCATGACGAGATCTGATCACGAAGTGGGTTGACAAGATGCAGGAGAAAGACCTCATGCATGCGAGGAAGAAGCGGCAAGTGCAGAAGTGGTCGGCGCCGATGGCTTTTACGTAGGCAGTTGCCGAAGTATGGGAGTAAGACCTCGTACATGCGGAGGAGAAGCGGCAAGTGCGGAAGCGGCAATCACTGATGGGTTGTACTTTATTAACCTCGAGCAAATGCTGATGTAGCATATGCGGTGTCAGGCAGGCCTGCGGAGAAAGGAGCCAGGTGACTTGAGACGGATGCTGCGGAGAACGTAGGCAGAACCGACGCAGCGTTTGTAAGTACGCTACATCCGATTTATTAACCGTGTGCTTGCGTGCTCGGTCTCTTTATTTCAGGTGTTACGTTTGCTTGACTGTCCTATTGCGTCATTATAATGTCTATACTATCTTCTCTAAACTTGCTCTTGTCGCTTAAGCTTATTGTAATTAACTTTGATAGCATCTTTGCGGTCATAGCATTTTCTGACGTATTGAACGCTTCGCGGTTTCTTTGCAATCAATTTATTTCATATGCTTATTTATTGGAGCTATGTCGGCGTATGTGTATGCATTATTCGATTTATTTTATTTCATCTTGTCGTCGCAAGCGATTGGCTGTTGCTTGATATCCCCGGTGTGGCTGCGCTTGATGTGCATGTTGACAAGGTACCTACCTGTTTATTACCCACTACCTCGTCCCTACTGGCTCCAGGAGCCAGTTGGTCGTTGCTGGAGTGGACGAGGTACACGGTCCTTGTGGCCGTGCTAGGCTCGAAAAGCGGTTCCATGCACTCAGTTTGGAGCGGACTACGGTCCACCCAACATCTTGTGTGCGATAGTTTTCCGAATAGAGCTAGCTTATGTTTGCCTGTGAAGGAGTGTGGGCCGGTTCCGTTGATGAAACGTGGATTCCATCCACATTGCCTCCAGTCTATTTCCTTCGGGTTTACACTGGATAT